GGTTTGTCAATCGTGCTATTGGATCGTTATGTCGACTACCATGAATTTCCTTTAACACCAAATGAAACAGTGGATGGTCACGGCCAATCATGACATTGATGTAACGTCGTCTGGATACATTCTCAAATGGGACTTGGCGTAGATGTGGCCATTTTTCTTTCAATTCTGACCACTGAAATGCTGGCGTGTCACTGGCGATGTTGTCTAATACGTGTGCTTGCAAGGGTGCTGTGAATGTCCCATTGAGACTAGTCACTGACAGTTCCACACGTCTTGACCGTTTCTGAATCTCTGTTCCGCCTGTTCCTGCAATTGTCAGATTTAACGATTGCCCTTGCAGCTCCAGCTCTCCTGCAGCATGTTCCGAAATATAAGAACTTGTTGAACATGGATCTAACATTACATTGACTTTCAACTTCTTCTGACCATCGCTAATAATGGCTGGAAGAACCATTAATGAAACATTATCAGTCTTACTCGTTTTGTGAGTTCTCTCTTGCGTGGATGATTCGGCTCTCTGTTGGTTATTGATGTCCATTCTACCAGACTGTTCGGTTCTTGCTTCTTGGGCTGGTGGCTGTCTTGGATAGAAGGTTTGCGCCTCTGGTCCTAACTGCTGTCTAGCATTTGTGTTTCCATTCTGTGGGGTGCTTTCATGAAGATAACTGCTATGGTTGTTGCTCTGGCATCCGTCAACTCCGGATTTTCTTGCTTTACGACAATCTTTGATGTGATGCCCAGCTTGCCAGGCACCGATAACAACGGCTGCTTTTTGAAATTAATTCCTTTCTCTTCTGTACAGGGAGTCTCTTGAAAGCATCACAAACCCATGGTGGATGGTCTTGTTTGCAGGTGCTAACAATACAATGTCTGGTTGAAAATCGTGTGTTGAATCCTCGGAAACGCGGTCGTTCATCACGATTCTTGTTACCCCGTTCCTCATTCTTCTTACCAAATCCTTCAGTCTCCTCTCTCGCTTCCCCAATGACTTGCACTCTGAGTTCCACCCAGTCTACCAGCGATTCGAAGCAATCTTCTCGAGCATAGTCTATCAACCAGTATTTATAGGCTTGAACATCCCGTTCGGTTAGCTTTTCTTTTGCTGATAAGTTCAGGCTTTGATCTCGTAAGGATCCACAATTGTTGATAGTGATCAAAATTCTCTCTAGTAGGGCTTGAAATTCTTCCAAGTCTTGTAAATTGTGGGACCGAACCTTAGGCCAATTACGCAAAGTTGTAAGCTGCTTTATTTGTTGTCGCCTCTCTCCTCCATACCTCTTCTCTAACTTCGACTTTGCTCGTTCATATGCAGCGCTTGAATATCCCAAATCTTTCACCAATGTCAGCGCTTTACCAGCTAAACAGCTTTGTAACCTGAGCATTTTTTCACCAACTGGAATGTTCTGCACATCAACCATTGCCATAAATGCTGCCTTCCAGGGCTCATAATTGGTTTTATCCTCTCCAGAAAACTTTGGAAGGTCGACTCCTTTCAACTTGATGGGTGATCGGGTTATTGTTTCCACTGGTACTCCCTCAGGCGATCCTGTTGTAAAATTATGTTTCGTAAGAAAATCCTTTACAGTATCACAATCTTCGACTAGTTGTCGTTCCGCATTTTCTGCCCGTGACTTATCGAGCTCAGCTACTTTTCTTGCTTCCTCTGTTCGCTGCTTGGTGAGTTCAAGTTCAGCTGCTAATTTTCTCATCTGTTGTTCTTTCTCTTGTTGTTCCTTTTCCATTCTTTGCAATCTGTCATTCGCACTCTTAGCTTCTAATTGTTTCTCCTCTACATGTGAATGTGTTGTTGAAGGTATATTGGGGGGTACTTTGGAGGGTACATTAGGTGGTACATTGGAGGGCACATTGGGGTGTACATTGGAGGGTACTTTGGAAGGTACATTGGGGGGCACATTGGAGGGTACATTGAGGGGGTACATTGGAGGGTACATTGGAGGGTACATTGGGGGGTACATTGGAGGGCACATTGGGGGGGGGGTACATTGGAAAGCACATTGGAGGGTACATTGGAGGGTACATTGGGGTGTACGTTGGAGGGTACTAAATCTTTATCCACATTAACATGTGATTTAAGTGAAAGTAATACTGACTCGGTCTCCCCTGCATTAATTCTCTCTTCTATATGTTTTTCTGCTCCTTCAATAATTACATCAACTGAATATCCAATGTCCTCTAACTCTTTGTCTAATGTATATATTACTGTATTAGTCTCTTCATTGTTCTCAGTTATGGCATACACTCCTTTCAGACCATCGATTATCTTTGCAATAATATTCATCTCAGAATTAATTTTATGTACAGCTCTTCTTACAGCATTCTTGCTAGGTAGTGCCACATCTTGTGGTCGATTTCCAATAAGGTCACTCAAACGTTTTTTGGCTTTAGTTATTCTACTTTTAGCTAATTTCTTATTATTTCGTAGACTTTGAATCTTTGTACTTACGGTACTTCCACTTTTGACGCTTTCTTGGTCAATAAGCTCAGCTTACATGGTTGTCGTTGTCTTAGATACGTCTTTTTCCTGCCCTTTGGCCATGTTTGTCTGAATTGACGCCATTTTGAAATCGTCGAAAATCGTATTAAAAATTGCAAAATTTCTCACTCGTTTGTCAATAGATCCGGCTCCGAAAAGGACGACCAAATGTTTACGTCTGTTAGAACGGTCGTTAAAAGTCTGTATAATTGTCAAATAACTCTTTATTCTATGATTTCTATCCCGATTTAAAAAATACAAAACACGCTGTCTTAAAATCAACACTAAAGACGCCCGCATTACGCAAGCGCAGCGGTTATATATGTTTTTACTTTATATTACAGGGAACGATTCGTTCCTTAACAATTATAATGATAAATTCGGACGTGTTTAAGAATTTACTCACATAGTAAATTCAAAGGTGGAGCTCATGTTGGATATTTAACAATTATTCGCCGAAGGCGAAGTGATTATCGGGGAATATTCGCCGAGACGAAGTCGAGGTGAATATTCCCCGATAATCACCGAGCCTGAGGTATAATCAAATCAAATCAAATCACTTTATTCACACTATTTAATATATATACATTATTAACTATAAGTAATTCATTTTTTTGGAGTATATAGAAGAAAAAGATAAAATGAACGAAAATATTTCAAACGTGCACGACGGTTAAAAGAGCATCAGCTTTCGAGTTAACCATCGTCTACGTATAAATAAATAGCTAAGCGGTTGAGCTAATTATTGAATTACATAATTCTAGTGGTATGCAATATAATTTGTTTGTTAATTTATTTTTATAAATTATTTAAACGGGAATAAAAGAAATAAAAGAAAGGAAATATAAAGAACGGCCATTATAAATATATGCAAATACTTTTTGTATATTAGGAGAATAATTTAAACAGTACAATGGATGGCACCATCATAATCACCGAGCCTGAGTATTTTTACACAAGCTTTTATGTCTTTTTAGACTGAATTTATTTTAATTTCGCTTATTTCTTTGTCAATAAACTCCCACAAAACGGGTACCCGCCATATTGAAAAATTTCTGTTTTGTTATATTCACCTGTAGGTGAATATAACAGCTTATTACGTCAAATTTGACCAATGAACGTGTAGGATTTGTTATGTTCAGTTGTGCAAAAATACTAAGAGCTAATATCTTGCTAGTAAAGAACCAATCAGATTGCCGAATACCTCAAAGCCAGACCTTTCTCTCCTCCGCAGAGGCTCACATGAAGTTTCTAGTGAGGAAAAAGTGAGCGCGCAAGGGGTGATGGGAAGAGCTAAATTAAGGAAGCCTCTGCTAGTTAATGCAATCAACATGGCGTCGTATATAATCGTTTGTAGTTCGGCTCGATCAACCATCGAGTGTTAAAACATGTTTTTCACTTTCCTTTTCAGGCGTACTTGAGTCTCCTGGAATGAATCCAATATTAATATATTTTTCTGTCCATTTGCACCGAAAAATATTGAGAAATTGCAAATGAATATAAATGGATATGAGCTATCTAATTATAAATATCCTCTAAATTGCAACATTTCTTTATAAAAATGACTCTACTGAACTTCGATACTCAGATTATGAAGATTTATTTCAATTTCTTCCACATTTCCATCGATTTCAAGTTTTCAAACAGCTAGTTTGGTTCAAAAACCATACGTCGTCGCATTATCTGGCAGAGCCTCCTCGACTTAATTTCAATCTTCCCATCACACAGCGCGCGCTCACTTTTATTCAGAAACTTCATGTAAGTTATTTGTAAATACTTAAGGAGGCTCTGCGGAGGAGAGAGTCCAGATGTTTTAGCAAAACAACGTAAGTGTATATAATAATATACTATATGAAAATACGATGACGTAAACATCGAAATCTGCATGTATAATGACTAATGAGCTACACAAATAAATCGCTTGATAGAAAATTGGGCCGAACTTTATACGTATTTTTAAGCGTTTAATGCATTTTTAAGTGATAATTATATACACATTTTGCTGGGCTGCCTATGGTTAGGTCACGATAATGATAATTAATGAGGCTTTACGTTCGCTTACATATGTGCTTCCGTGCAGGTCAAAGTTAGCGGTTCACTAGGTTACATGTATGCAGCGGAAATACATCGGCATTTGCATTTGAACATTTGCTGTATTGGTTTACGCCACCAACAGGAGAATGTCTTGGCTTATTTATGGTCGTTGGTTGCTTATATGGTTATTACTGTTTAAAGGTAAGGTAACTGATAGCAATTCGACCAACTAAATTGATAACGTCAGTAAAAACAATCTATAGTATTCTGTATAATTATTTCCCTCAATTCTTTCGCATCGTATCGCAGCGTATATAATCAATATGACAGTTTAACCTGTTTCTTGTTATGCTAAAACATCAATACACAGACTATATAAAACAGACGGTACTGTTCTTTCTATGAAGTTTTGATCAAATAGTTTGTTTTATCAGACAAGTTGGATAAATTATTCAAACTCCTCTGCATTTTAAATTATAATATGCATATATTGAATGTTTTCATCTGCAAAGCAAACTCTTTCTGCGTGGTACAAAATTACATACCCGGACCTGTTAGAGCATTTGACTGGGTTTTTAATGTTTGCATGCAGCCACTGTAATAAGACTGGCAGTTAGTTGTAATTAATGCCGAATTCACATGCTTGGGCTGTGACGTAGAGTTGTTCGTCATAGTTGTCAATGGATTGCGTTGCCGAGGTGGTTACGGGATGTAGCAAGTGGTCTTATATATGTACTATTTAAAACACGCGTATGTATAGAGTGTTTTATCCAGTGGCGTAATAGAGGAAGAGGGGGGCCCTTAGGCATATTTGGTGTGGGGCCTCCTGTTGACTCTTGTCATTGTTTGACTGAGATATTATATGAATATTGAATATTTATAGAATGTTCTGGAAAATTCCGTGTCTATAACAAAAACAATAACAGTCCCCAACACATATGTAACAACTAATAAGAATAACTTTTGTTCTATTTGAGATGGAATAAAAAATTCAGCTACCGTTGTCGATGGAGGCTTTATTATTTAGCATTATTAATTTCCTCATTTTCTCATTGATTCTTAATAACCTGAATTTTTTTTTGTTTTCTAATTTTCTGGGCGACAGGCCGTGGCCGATGGGGCCCCTAACTGTCAGGCCCTTAGTTTTTTTAACTAACTCTACCCAATGAGCGTTACACCACTGATTTTATCATGTTTAAAATGGGAGTGCGCAGCACGAGTATTTTAGATATGATAAAACACGACTATACAAGTTTTTTGAACAGCTTCAAACACGACTATACAATAGATGCCGTCTCATTTGTATTCATTATAGTCATTTATAAAAATACTAATACACCCTTTTGATAATTACGTTATTTGGCCTGAGAGGCTCGCTCTCATGAATCGTGAGCCAATCACCTTGCGTAATTTACTAATGAGAGCGAGGCTCCAAGACCAAAAAGTATGTGTGACGTAATTATATCGAAAGGGTGTATTAGGGTGAACTTTTATATGAAGAATACTAATGAAGATGAGAGTTTTATCAGGTACGAAGCCTCTTCACCTGACATATTATGGTTGACCGGATTTGCCAATATTCAATACGCTTATGAATTATAAATTATATTTGAAATATGTTTAAAAAACTCATTAATATTCGTAAAGAAAAGACAAAGGAAACCACTACCATGTCGGTGGTTTTATATCTGATAAGAAATCATGTAAACAACTTTGATTTTTAAAATTACTTCGCCAATAAACTCATAAGATAGATCTTTTTAAGCCATTTAAAACACTCGCAGTCCGTGCTTTATCCGATATAAAATTCTCGCCAGGCGTCTCGAGTTTTATATCTGATAAAGCACTCCTGTTTGTGTTATATATATATATATATATATATATATATAGATAAAGATAAAATAAACTTGGTTTACTTCATAAGATTAGTAAACCAAGTTTATTTTATCTTTATCTATATTAGCTCTATACTTCGGTATATCGAGCACTCTACTCATATATGATTCTATATATATATATATATAGAGAGAGAGAGTGTATATATATATATATATATATA